TTAGGATTTAAAAATAAATAAGGTTAATCTCTCTACAAATGTTTAACTGCTTAACTTTTCTCAAAAAAATATTATTATCGGCCGCTGGAGCAGCCGACTATTTGTAGTTTTGTTAGAAAGTACACATTGGGAAATGAGTCTTTTTTCTTTTTTAATTTTCTTTATTCGTTTGGTATCATTATTAGTCATAATTTAAGAAACTGGACTTAGATAAACTAAAGGACTTTTCAAAAACAAACTAAAGGCAACAAGTATGAAAATAAGCATTTGAACATTTAATCATGCGAAGAAAAAAAAATACAAAACAGTAATCAATTTTAAAGTCCATTGAAACAATACAGATTTGGAGCAGAACACCACAGGACCTCCTAAAATCATCAGAGGGCCAGGTGCAAAGGAGAAGCAAGCACCCCCGCCGACTGATAACACCCGCCGTGTGCTCATTTTCATGGCAAACGGAAAAAATTCGTTGATGATTTAGTGTTCAAATAATGGCCTAACAATCAGCGCGAAGAACGTCAGCCAGCATTCGACTTAATGATAGATTGTATTTGCCGACAAGATCATTGTATCGACCACAGAACCTGCCAAATGATGACCATAAACTAGAATCTTGTCATCACCGTTTCACCAACCCGCCTGTCAATTTTTCGCCTCGTTTCAGAAATTGGAGTTTTTAATATCTTGAATTTATTTTCAAACAAATTTTGCAACTGATGATCAGCTACGACCATATGCTGAACAATGAAAAAAAATGTCTAGATACCAAACAGGGATTGATCTCAAAAATCTTTTTAACAAGGAAAATTTGTGAACATGACATACTCATATCCCTAAATTCAAGATATCAGATCAGGTGAAACAAGAGTGTCCAAAACAGTAACCAGAGGACTTCAATGTAGTGTCCAGAGATGACCTCTGGTTTTTCTAATGATGTACAGTATAAGGTGACTCCTGGTCTCCGTATTCATACACAACTTTATGTAATCTCACCCCCCCCCCCAATGATGAACAATAAAAAGTGACCTCTGGTCCCCATAATGATGTACAATATAAGGTGACCTCTGGTCTCCGTAATCATATATAACATTATTAGACCCATTGTCTCCCTTATGATGTACAATGCAAGGTGTCCTCCAGGCTCCGTATTCATATATAACTTTAATTGACCCCTGGTCTCCCTTATGATGCACAATAAAAGTGACCTCTAGTTTCCGTATTTATATACAACTTCATGTGACATCTGATCTCCGTATTCATTGACCTCTGATCTCCGTATTCATATATAACTTTATTTGACCGTTGGTCTCCCTTATGATGTATATAAGGTGCCCTCTAGTCTCCGTATTCAAACACAGCTTTATGTGACCTCTGGTCTCCCTAATAAAATAAACAATATTAGGTGACTTCTGGTCTTCTTAATGATGTACAATATAAGGTGACCTCTGGTCTCCGAATTCATATACAACTTTATATGATCTTTGCTCTCCCTAATGATGTACAATATAAGGTAACCTCTAGTCTCCGTATTTATATACAACATTTGGTCTTATACAGCTTTTTCTACATCATAAAGACACCGGGAGTCACATAAAGTTGAATATTAATACGGATACCAGAGGTTACACCATATTGTACATCATAAGAGAGTGCAGGGGTCACTTAAAGTTGTATATGAATGCGGAAACTAGAGGTCATCTTATATTGTGTGTCATTAGGGAGATCAGAGGTCACATAAAATATTAATACGGAAACTAGAGTTCCCTCTAAATTTCTAAATTTTACATCTTTAGTTCACATTAAGTTGTATAAGGAGACTAGAGGTCACCTTATATTGTACATCATTAGGAGACCAGACTTCACCTTACATTGTACATCAACAGGGAGACCAGAGGATACCTTATATTGTACATTATCAGGGGTATCAGAGGTCACCTTATATTGTACATCATTAGGGGGACCAGAGGTCAACTTATATTATGCATCATTAGGGGGACCAGAGGTCACCTTATATTGTACATTATTAGGGGGACCAGAGGACACCCTATATTGTACATTATTAGGGAGACCAGAGGACACCTTATATTGTACATTATTAGGAAGACCAAAGGTCATCTTATATTGAACATCATTTAGGACACCACAGGTCACATGAAGTTGTGTATGAATAGAGAGCAGAGGTCACCTTATATTTTACATTATTTGGGTGGACCAGAGATCATGTAAAGTTGTATGTAATATGGAGACAAAAAGTCACCTTGTATTGTACATCATTACGGAGATCAGAAGTCACATTAAGTTGAATGTAAATGCGGAGTACAAGGGTCACCTTATATTTTACGTTATTAGGGAGACCAGAGGTCGCCTTATGCTGTAGATCATTAGGGAGACCAAAAGATGCCTAATGTTGTAAGGAGACAATAGGTTAAAAAGTGTGGTATATGAAGAATTATTTCCCAAACCCAAACTCTGATTTTAGTGAAAAGCAAAAACAAAAAGGTACACAATTTCTCCATATTCACTAAATTTATTTCGTCAGAATGGGGTGTGTGTGTTTGGACAATTTGCTTGTCTTCATATACATGTTTATGATTTTTAGAAGCAATTCCAATGGGGTCCGTGTTTTCTAGGTCTATTTTTGGTAAGTCTCTTTTTGGTTACTTTTGTTTCCCCATCTGCAGATCAGCAGGTGTGGTGACTGGGATTCAGCATCTCCCTTCCATTAATTTTTCACTTATAAATTACAAGGGGAACACCTGTTCTGTATTATCAATAAGGAGGCCAGAGGTATATTGATAAGGTCGCCTATTGTGGTATGATATATTATTTTGGAGACCAGGGGTCACCTAACGTAATTTATTACCAAACCATTATACCATTATCTTGAAGTATCTGTGAAAAGTCCAAGTGGGCATGATCACCATCCCCCCATTTCCCACTAGTTCTACGCGTGCAGAGGCAAAAGGTCACCTAGTCTGATATATTAATAAGGAGACCAGAGGTTAGGTAGTGTGTTACTTTAATACGGTCTCTTAACGTTGTTCATCATTAGGGAGACCACGGGTCACCTAACGTAATTCATTACCATATAACTTGTATTATCTTTCCGACCGCGTAACCGGTCATATAATTACAGTAATCGATCGTTGTTCAGAAAGCATGTTACAAAGTTAATCACAAATACTTATTATTTTTTATTATTTTTCCACAAGATTGTCATGCAGTAAAATTAGTGCCAACGCATTTTGTATCTTTCTTTTTTTTATTACAATTGGGGTTTGTTTTTTATATCAACAAAAATTCTTGCTAGCAGAAACAAGGTATGTTTCAAATACCAAAATGATAATCTTTTTTAAATTTACTGTCAATGGACGACTGTTTGGAACATTTAGAATTTGTAACATTTTCTGTTATTGTAATTTGTCATTTTAAATCTATCCGTCTAAACAGTACAACAATTAAATGCATTAGAACATGAACGCTTTGAACGCATATGAATGCTTAAATAATGTATTATTCTCTCCTACTTGATCTGAGCTGAATTGAAGAAGAGAAAACTTTTCCTCCAAATTGTAACTAATCAATGTAAACAGGAGGTTCACAAAAATTTCTGGTATAAATGGCTAAGCACTAAAAAAAATTGTGCTGACAACTATTTCCACATCTTTTAAAGGAAAGTATAAATTAGTCACTCTTCTCCATGAATAGCACCGTGTAAATCATGTGCTGGAGACTTAAGGCATGCATAAGTTTTGAGTCTTAAATATATTTGTTTGAAAAAAAAATCTCCTTATATTCATTGAAATTTGTTCATTTCTTTTTGAGATCAAACAGACAGACAGAATAATCAATATGCTTGAGAATTCTAAAGGATATCAAGTCAACTGGTAGCCTCACCGATTTGTTATCACATCAACATAAGCAGAGGTGTGAAGTCATGGGCCTACAAGTCTATGCGGTGTTTTTGGTCGCCCGCGTGGAGCAGTGGTTAGAGCGTTTGCTCCAGAGTTGCAAAGTAAGGAGTTGATCGTTACGTCGCTGGTTCGAATCCCACTGCGGGACGTGGAGACCGTTCCTTCGGATGAAACCGTATAAACCTAGGGGTCTTTACCATGATGCTCGCAGTGGCGAATATGCACATTTTACTGATGAATTTATTAGCACAACCTACTAATAATCTTTCGATATATAAATATATTCACAACTTATAGTGTTATCAATTGGATTTTTTTCGCATCATAACCTTTAATGCCAGGACAAGTCAACAAAAGACGGTCAAAGATTTAACGGAAAATTCTTAGAAACCTTTTGTTATTTTCTAAAGCGAGAAAGACTCAATTAGTTGTATCAGCATGCAAGCATATAAGTGTACTATAGATTCAAGGTTGTTTAAAGCAAGGACTCAAGGTAAGATTGGGCCACGATTGGGGAACACATTTCCTAAAGGAATATATCACTAAGAATAACAGGACAACAACTTGTAAAGCCTCCAGTATACACTAATGTAAAACTGTTGAAATTATGGGCTTTAATTTGACATGACAATGGGAATTTGACTGGGAGAGAATGTCATCTAAGAAGAGCGTTGTGGCCCCGGGCCACTAATTGTTTATGATTTTTGATTTTTATTCAAATTTTATACATGTAACACCATTCCTACATGATAGAGTTTTCACATCATTTTGACATACACCGCTTTAAAACATATTGGATATTAATTCAGAAACCATTTTGTAGCTTTCATTACATCTTAATATTGCTTTTGAAAGTGACAAATTATTATATGATGCATTGTAAAATAAAAACTGTATTTTATATATTAATTACCTGTCAGGTAATCAATTCCAAGATTAATTTTGAGTAAAGTGAGGTTAAAGTGGACCTATTTTGTTTAATTAAAGAGAATTTATATTTTAAAGACGCCTGAACTCTTAACAACGTGCTAAATATGATTTTTATTTGCTTTTTATTAATTTCAGCAGATTGTGTTCTAGTTAACCTAGACCCACCATATCATGGACACGCAAAGATTCAGCAATCAATGCAAAGTACAAAAGTGTTCTCCATGTCAGGGAGACACAGAATTCTACTGTAACACATGTAAATATGACTTTTGCCTTAAGTGTAAAGAGGAACATGTTATTGATCTAGATACAATATATCATGATGTTGTGATTTACCGTGGGAAATTTGACTACATTCCAAATCAAGAGACCTGTAGGAGACATCCAAACAGAATCTATGAAATGTTCTGTCAATCTTGTGATCTTCCTGTCTGTTTCCAGTGTAAAGAACATAGGAAGCACCAGACACTGGACATTAGAACAGCATATAAAACAAATCGTCACCAATACAGAGGAATCATTCACAGCCTCAGAAGTGAGACTCTATATAATAGCTGTTTTCTTCTGGCTGGAATCAAAACTGATATAAAAACTTGTCACACAGACATCTCCAAATGTCAATCAGAAATGTCAACAAAAGCCCAGCGACTAAAGATCCTCCTTGACACTGTTATTTCTGAAATTAAATACAGACAGAAAAGTTTTTTGATTCATAGATTACACCAACAGATGAGAAAAATGAACAGACACCTTACCACCGCAGAAAATTATGAACACAGATCTGAACAGTTAGCAAACAGACCTGTAAAGTTCCTCTTATTCTTAACGAAAACTCGTGTACCAAAGATAAAGGACACACCTAATATTTCACAACAAGCCCTACTTTCCCTGACTGGAAGATTCAACATGGTGGGTTTGATTAAAATGCTGAGAGGAATTCAAATTATAGAGACAGGAAAAAGACACGTAAGAAATGAATGTCTACTAAAACTGTTGTCTACACCCGTGATTCTCAGATCTGTCACTTTGACAGGTGTTAGCAAAATATTACACTTTTCCTTTGTGACTTCAGACCGGTTCTGGATCTGCGATGAAAGAAATCTCATCTTGACAAACACTGCAGGTGATATTCTTCATCATCTGACAGATAGTGGTGGATGGGGAGTACACACAGTGAACATTATCTGTGATCTTATTTATATAGACAGGGATTATAACATTACCACACTATCTAAAGACAACAGAACAAAGTCTACACTGAAAAAATTTGCAGATCCATGGGAACCACACTGTGTCTTCTGTTCACCCTCCAATGGGGATCTACTGGTCGGGATGTTCAATACTAATACAGATACTGCTAAGGTTAACCGTTACAATGACAAAGGACAACACATACAAACAATACAACACAACAACTCAGGGCAGGAACTGTATAGTAGACCTATCTTCATCACAGAGAACCGCAATGGAGATGTCATTGTATGTGACTTATGGGGTTACGCTGTAGTTGTGACAGAGTGTGGAGGAAGATACCGCTTTTCATACACAGGACCTCCATCAAGATCAGAACTATATCCACAAGGAATGTGTACAGACGCATTGTCACACATCCTGGTGTGTGATGGTATCACCGATACAGTTCAGATGATTAACAGGGACGGTCACTTCCTGTCACTGATAGAGACACGACAACAAGGGATAGACACACCATGCGGCTTGAGTTATGATGACAAAACTCATTCACTCTTCGTTGGATCTCTTGACAATAGCAGAGTGTGCGTATACAGATATATACAGAGGCAATATTGTCCAAAAGGTATTTGTGATACGCAGCACAGTTAAGGCTGCAATAAGGATGCGGGGCCTAATTTTTACGGGAAATACTTACTATGACATCACACAAAAATACATTTTCTTCAAATTACCACAAAATGAAATGATTCGCTATTTCAAACTGTTGGATAGCTTTAAACTACATCAATACGTACTATTGCATGTATTTTTATCGTTGGTTAAATCCCACACAGCAATATATGAACAATTCACTGATCGCAATGCACTTGTCAATGTGACGTCATATCGTAAAATTTGACGCAGCTTGTATGTAGTGAGAGGCGGATCAAGTTACATTTTATACAATGAAAAATGTATTTTGTAATTAAATAAAATATTATTTGCAGATATATAATGGGCCATTAACTTGGACGGTGAAGGGCTTCAAATTTAGACCTATATTAGGCACACAGGCCATTGAGCAGTTAGCTAGGGTTCTTTGTCGTGGCAACGCCTACAGTGGGACCTCGGTTTTTTAGCTCTCATCCGAAAGACCCATGACTTTCATTTCTTCTGCGAAGGAAATGTCACTATACCTATGTTTACGTCTTAGGTTTGACGAGATGCGGCGAACGAGAATCGAACCCGGGCCTCCCAATCACGAAGCGAACGCCCTACCAATAGGCTATCGCGACCGGTTATTTAGTTAGAAATCATGGCAGTACGTGTTTAGCGAATTTGGCAATGAATTGATTTAGAACTACCAATCTTTTGTATCTTAGTTATCTTTTGATGGCCCCGGAATCGGGGGCATATAGTGTTTGGTCTGTTCGTCCGTCTCTCTGTTAATCTGTTTGTTTTACCTACAAAAAACTTTAATCTTGACTTTAACTTTTGAATTGTTAGGGCTTTCGTATTTCACATGAGTATTTCTTGTGAAAAGACCTTTCTTTGGGTTCCAATTCATTTGACCCCCTGACCTTGACGTTGGAATTTGGCCTACTTTTGCAAAAATTTACCAACCTTTTTATCAGATTTATCAATTATATATTTCATGTGTCCAGACCTTTCATTGGGTACCAACATTTATTATATTTCGACCTTGACCTTCGAGTTTGACCTACTTTTACCAAAATTTAACCTTGACCACAGCTTTTTAACGGTTGGAGCTAGGGCTTTATATTTCACATATGTACTCCATGTTTCCAGACCTTTCTCTGGGTACCAACATTTTTTACCTTTCAACCTTGACCTTTGAGTTTGACCTACATTCGAAAAACTTTAACTTTTGAACGGTGGGTGTTATATTATATTTCATATTATTCTTATGAATTCCATGTAACAAGACCTTTCTTTTGGTACCATTTTTTTTTGTTTTCGTGACATTGACGTTAGAGTATGACCTACTTTTTGAAAAAACTTAAACCTTGGCCATATTTTCTGAATTGTTGGTAATAGAGCTATTATATTTCAAATGTGAATTCCTTGTGACAAGACTTTTCTTTGGGTGTCAACATTTTTTATCTATTTACCTTGACCTTTGCGTCTGACCTACATTTGAAAAAAATTAATCTTGGCCTTAAGCCGCCATATGGGAGCATCAGTGTTTACAAACACATCTTGTTTATGTATAAAATAGAGTTCCCTTTCTTGGGATTAAATATATAAACATTTTATACCTTTTTTTAAAAAACACGTTTGAAAACCTTCAAAATATATAAATAGATTGTTTTGCTACAATGATTTTGTTTAAAATAAAATACATACTCAGAAAATTTAATTCGTGTAAAATGTTATCCAGAAAACACATTCCAGTGCTTAGTGTCTTTATCTAAAGACAGTATTCTTTAAAATGAAATTAGCTGTTTAAAGGGGCCTGTACACAGTTGCATTGTTTACAGTTTTATATGTCTATTTTATTCAAATTATAACTTCGATTTAATAATTTGAATTTACATGAATATTCTAAGAATTCAATGACAACGAGATTTTTCATAACATCACGTCCAACACCTGTGTCTGTAAACAGAGCACGAGCTCTGTTAGTGTTTACGTTTTACCGGGTGTGTTCAATTTGTTTAGTCTGCACACATCACTGAGCACGGAGTGACAATACTGGTGAGTTGGTTTTGCTTTCTCGCATTTCTACTCTGAACTTTCTTAATTACAGGTCTCATATTTTTCATTAATACACAACAAAATTTCAACTTTTCTTACGTATTATGGTTAAATTGTACTCTGTGAAAGTACAGGATATGTGTCAATCAAACGCGTCCCGAAATTCATAGTATTAACAATTTACAGATAAAGGAATTTTCTTAACACGCTTTTAATATATATTGGTGTTAAATGCCCTAGAAACATATAAGTTATGATATTTAGAAAATTTTAAAAAATATGAGCCCCTTTAAAGATATATGTCTATCATAGTCATCATCAGACTTTAACTACACCCACTTCCATGTGGTAGCCCCAACTAAAAAAAAATTTACTAAACAGAAATAATAACACAAGATCATATTAAAAAAATTATCCTCTTTTAATTCTTAAATTACATTGTTTGTTCCTACAACAACGATCATTTGCGACAACCAGTTAGCTACTTCATTGCACCTTTTCAGATAATTGTCACTGCGAAATGGATATTTCCTATGGAAATGATTGGCGGATGTCTGAATACTACTTTGGCATTTTCAAGAAAATTGTATATAATGCCCATTATATACTCAAAACTCAATTTTCACAGACCTTGAATTGAAATGACACAATTTGATTTAAATTTCGAAAACATCATTCCCTTGAGAAGAATCCATTTTAAGAATAAAGTACGGCTAATATTAACCTAGAAAACAGTTTACACAATGAGCACTTCACTGCTTCCTTGGAAAATAATTAATATTGAAACATTTCAAGATTTGTTTTGGAATACATTTTCAGGTCGAAGTTTGGCTCGTGGCTAATCCAACACACAGAACCACAATTTGCATCTCACCATTACACTGCTGCAGTCAATATATCCTCAAAAATTGAATTCAAATAAAACATTTACAGATTTGATTCGAATTTGATTATCTGTATCTGTCGAAGAAGAAATTCATTTTTTGGTCAAAGTTTGGCTAATATTTTCTTTTACTCTTACTATTCTCTGTTTCCAGGTCCAACTATCACTGATTTTGTGCTCTTTTAATTTTTGATTCTGTCATATACTCTCTCCATCGGAGGACAACATGCATGCCTTTACAACGCAAACTATAAACTGATTTTGAAGCATCGCATCTTTGTATAAATACTAGTATCCACCAAAATCCACCTGTAACTGTCCATTCTTTAGACAAAAACCTTTTGTTGTTTGCATTTGAAAACACAAGGACTATTCAACAAATTGCTCTGCATCCCAGCTTACCTGTGACTGTCCATTCTGTAAACAATGAACTTGTCATTGTGTGTGTGCTACCTGTCATCTCTGATACCAGTATTGTACTTTTTTTTTAATTCTTAGAACAAAGGAAATCATGTTTTAAGTAGGAAAAAAGCCTCAAACTGTCCATTCTGTGATACAGAATGGACAGTTTGAGGCCTTTCTCCTTTACATACATGTAGTTACTTATACATAAGGACACAAGCATACCTAACAGGTCTTCGTAATTAATTGATTAAACTCATCCACACAATTTATGCTAACGTGAATTACAGTAATTCCTTCCTCTATATTGGACAGAATGGACAGTTTGAGGCCTTTCTCCTTTACATACATGTAGTTACTTATACATAAGGACACAAGCATACCTAACAGGTCTTCGTAATTAATTGATTAAACTCATCCACACAATTTATGCTAACGTGAATTACAGTAATTCCTTCCTCTATATTGCCTAAAATATTTACTGAAACCTTGAGACTTTTCTTTATAGTAGCATGTAAAAATTGAATGTTCATTCCAAGAAAACACGCGCATACTGAATATTACTGTAACATCTATGTCTGCCAATTACATAAAACACATACTTAAGTTACAGCATTTTAATTTAAATAATAAGGTGTGGATCCGAGGTGTACGCGGGATGGAAGAAATCAAAATTAGAGAGATACACAGTCAAGAAAAATTCGTAGTCTGAGTGAAATTCGAAATAATGGGCGGTAAGAAAATACACAAACATCCTTGAGAAACAGAGGAAATAAACAGGAAGATAAAATAAGCTTAAATAAAATAAATATATTCATACAGTTTGAATACTTGACTTATTTGTGACAACGTAGAATACTATAGGATTAAACGTTCTTTTTTTCAGAATTTATCGATGTGTAAACTCGTGTCTTTGTACTCACAAACCGGATAGAAGTGCGAAGGACTTTTATGTACAGTTTGTGAGTACAAAGGCATGAGTTTACACATCGATAAATTCTGAAAAAAGAACGTTTAATTCTTATAATTCCAATTACGAAGTTTTAAAATCATTTCTCTTTGAAGCCTCCATACAATCTGTTATTTCTGCACAGCGTAGGAATACTTTATGCCGCGGTGTGGAATTGAATCGCAATCGAGATGAACGTCGATAAAGTTCATCTTCAATTGTCAAAACATTTAATAAAATAAACTTATAAAAACTCTTCGAATATGTTTAAGTCAACAAATATCGTAAATACAAGTAGACTTCAAAAGAATTCGTCCTTGCATGACCATGTTGACAATAACGACAAACGCTCTAAAACGAAAGTAGCAGACCGACGACACCCTTGATTTGCTCTGGTTTGTTCAAAGACGGGACAGAATATAGGATGTAGAAAAATGAATTTGATGCTAATAAGGCAAGAGTCTGAGGTACGTTTCTCTTTCCTATCACAGCGCTACCTAGAATTGAGCTGATTCGCAATTGTTTTGTATGCCTATTAGGAACGTCAAGAGTATGACTTCGGAGATTTAAAATTCACACTCGTGATCTGACAGTGACATAAACATAATATTCCCGTCTGTCTGTCCTATATGTTCTCAGTTTTGTTTTTATTTAATTTCAAGTTTCTGTTATCATTTAGCTAAAACAGACTAGAAGTAACGATTTGTTTCAATTTTTTTTTTTACAATAAAAGCTTGGTCAAGAAAGTAGTTCTGACTGAGAAATTTATCGATGTGTAAATTTTTCTTGAATTTGCTCTCATCCAATGAAAACACAGGAAATCAATAAATAAAATTAAGATTGGAATTATTAGTAAATGTCGATTTTGCAGGTTTACAAGACTTCCATACAGATTTGAATGCATTAATATTTTGGTTCTGAATAAAGGATACGTATAATCATTATGTATTTTTTTTTAAACA